TTGCGATAAATAAGTGGGTTTTGGGTCGCAGTTTGGGCACTTGGGTCTCTAAAAGGTTCGCCATCACTGGCTTAGAGGTCACACTGGTGGTACTTCATAACTGAATGCGCTTTTATCGTTCAGTCTTTTGCTCTACATCAGCAGGACTGCCGCAGGAGCAGAAATGCCGAGATCCCGAGTTCAAAGATCACCACCGCCATCGCCTGGGGTGGTGGTGAAGCTGTTGGGAGCTTTGGAAGTTTTGCTGTGCTTCAAAGTTTAAGAAATCCCTTTCTTTATCTCACTCGTTTATCTATTGCTGCGGGGCGCATGAAGACAGAGCTACATGCAGGGGGCTGGAGGAGACGGCAAGATTGCTGTTTTCGCAGCTGAAGTGGTGGATAAAGGCCCGGGGCCGTGGTAGTGTTCTAACTTCTCCCAGTGGCTAAATTATCATTGGAAGCAGGGCCGTCCCAAAGGAAATGGTCCTTCTGTGCGTAATTGCTTGTGTATTTAAGCATGCAAATCAGTACACGCTACAGGAAGCCGCCTCAGGTGTTGGCCACCACCTCTCACAACATCTGCAGTGTATTGGGATCGCTGCTTTATCCCGCAACGCGTACAGCTCCCGATCAAAGAGAAAGTGCTCCTTTTCGGCCCCAGAATGGCGGTTGTGCATTTGGGCATGTTTCAGATCGCGGAAAGGAGGGAATTGGTCGTGCCGGCGTCTTCTCAAAGAACCCTGTATTAAAAGCAACCTCACGCAAAGAAGACTCTTGAGCGACTGACCCAAAAAACTCAGCAACCCGTTTCCCCTTAATTATTTTAAGCATGACTGGGGGGGGGGCAGTAAGAGGTGTTTATGTTCTCCCACATTGGAAGGAAGTGGCGCTTGCTGCAGTACAAGGCTGCATGGTCTGAATAACATAGAAAGTATGCCTATTTTCCTTCAGAGGTACCTTTTATCGCCTACACAAATGTTACTCGGGTTTAATCGATCAATTAAAATGAAGGCTCTGGGCACGTGGAGCCTCCTAGGTTAATTCGTCACTATTGGTTATTTCCAAGAAGGGGGACCTGCGGGGACTCACAGGGGGAGGGTAAATCCCATACACCCGGTTCGGTTCCCCCTTTCTGTTTTCTCCCCCTCCCCCACCTGCTGAATTGTCCATTCTTTCCTTCTGCGTCCTGCCCAAGGTGATGGCCTCCCCTTACCCACCCCGCAACACCCACCCCTTCCTCCAGCCGGCTTTTGGATTTCACTTTTTGTGTGTGTGGATTTTACTGGATTTTTCACTATCTGGGGGTGGGGAATTGAAGAAGAAGAAGAGGAGGAGGAGGAGGAGATTGGAATTATACCCCACCCTTCACTACCCGAAGGAGTCTCGAAGCGGCTTACAATCTCCTTTCCCTTCCCCTCCCCGCAACAGACACCCTGTGAGGTAGGCGGGGCTGAGAGAGCTCAGCCGCCCTGAGCCCGTTCGCGGGGAGGGCGGGGTATGAATGCGATAAAATAAATAAATAAAATTTTCGAGGACTGCCCGTGAGAGAACAGCTCTGAAAGAACTTGTGACTGACCCAAGGTCACACCAGCAGCTGCATGTGGCAGCGTGGGGAATCAAACCCGGTCCTCCCGAATTATCCACTCTCTTAACCACTACATCAAACTGGCTACACCGCTCCCCCATCCAGTCATTTTTAACACTTGATATTTCTGTGCAAACTTTAGGGTTTACTGAAAGATTTATCCCCGCCCTGGGTGCCCCTTCCCTTGGATTTTGTTTTTAAATGCACTTGGCGGGGCCACCTGCCTGCTTTAGATACCCTCAATTCAATTCTCACCTCACCCTTCTTCCAAGAAGCTTAAAGCAACATGCCTGCTCGTGCAAAACGCACCCGTTTTATTCCCACAACAGCACTGTAAGGTAGGCGGCTGGCCCGAGGTCACGCAATGAGTTTCATAACGTATCGAGGTCTTGAACCTGGGGTCATCCTAGTTGTGGGCCCACAGTCTTGACCGACACACTAATATGGCTCTCGATTCACTGGCCATAATTGGCTGAACCCCTTCACCTGGCAGCCACTTCTCAGACATGACGGCCGCTGTGAGCCCCTGAGAGACTCATTCATTCTTCACACATCTGTTCCAGCTGCTGAGGCAAATGCAAGAGACCCATGCAACCTTAAACACTGACAAGTTTGTCGTAGTGGGCTTTTTCTGGCTTCAAAACCATTCCATCAAAGGCAGCGGCGTCCGATCCACCTCACAGAACACGGCTTTCCTGTTGGGTTTTTGTTGTACATAGCATCATAGAGCTGCTGTTGTTGTACATAGAATCATAGAGTTGGAAGGGACCTTCCAAGTGTCATCTAGGCCAACCCCCCCGCCCACAAGGCAGGACATTCACTACCTCCCTCCCCCACAAACACCCAGTGACCCCCGTTCCATGCCCAGAAGATGGCCAAAAACCTCTAGGATCTCCAGCCAAACTGGCCTGGAGAAAAATTGCTTCCTAACCCCAAAGTGGCGAT